ACATTATCTACCTCGTGGCCACACATTATCTACCTCGTGGCCACACATTATCTACCTCGTGGCCACACATTATCTACCTCGTGGCCACACATTATCTACCTCGTGGCCACACATTATCTACCTCGTGGCCACACATTTACCTTCTGGTCACACATTATTTACCTCGTGGCCACACATTACTATCTAGTGGCCATGACATATTTTTTTATCCAATTTCACTGGACTGACACTGTAGTATTGGAGCATCATTTTAAATTTTAAAAGGAAATCTCAGATGCAGATTTATTAATTCACAATTTTACACATTCGTGCCTCAATCTGACAAGAAGGGACTCTTTACCTCGTGGTACTGATGGACATGTTTTCCATAGCAGAATTCATATTTCCACCATCCTACACCCTGAAACAGGAACATTAAGAACATTTTCCACCATGAAGTAGTTTTTGAAATGACGCTCATGGGACGAAGACAAACAGGCCTCACCCCGTGCAGACAGTATGAGCCGCTGAGGAACTCCTGGATCAGCTGGTCGTCTGTCAAACGGGAGATGTGAGTGGTCCCGACGGTGACCTGAACCTGCCCTCCGACACTCATAGGTTTGTGAGTGGAGGTGAAGGCCTCCTCTCTGACTGGTGACGTGTCCTCCTGATGGACATCACAGACGTGTGAGCCATGTGTCACTTTATAAAGACAGTTTTTCTTTTTCTGCGGAAGTCTCACCTCTCTGGTGTCGGCGCTGAACGGCGGTTTGAGCTGCTCCTCCTGCTCCTTATCCAACTGGGTGAGACGCTGAGGCTGCAGAGGGGAGCCCTCCAGGGCCTGGCAGAAGATGGCGTTCACCGGAGACGACTTAAACCTACAAGAAATCACTGGAATAATAAACTAGAAGGAATATGCATTTCACCTGCACTGTTTAGCTGTGATGGCCATCTCAAACTGGGGTGAATCCCTGAAGTTAATCATTTGTAGATTTAAATTAAACGGTTAATTTGGGTGAGTTTCAATCAGATTCGTCCATTGGCTCATGAAGTATTTTGCTAACAGACAACAACTTTAATCCTAACAGTTAATCCCAGAGTTTTAAATGAAAATCTCGATCAATTAGTTATTGCTCAGAGAAACTGTTGGGGATAAATCTCAGCTACTACCACAACTAATTTGAGCTTAATACTTGTCAAAATGATCAAGTTACAGGAATATTTGCGTTTGCTAAAATGGATTAGCTGTGGCAACCGTCTTAAATTCGGTTCTCTCCAGAAGTTAAACAGCTGAAGATATACATCCAGTAATTAATTTCCAAGATTTAAAAAAAAAATCCCTCCACTGGCCGATGAGATATTTTGCTAACAGACAAAAAAATGAACACGCACAACAAACATATTACATCAACTAGTTTAATACATCTTTATAAAACTTATGAACTACTTCTACCGTGACGAATGCCTTCTGARGGAGCTCACCTGTACTTCGGGTGCGCGCAGAGCAGCGGCGTCAGCACCACCACCTCGTATTCACACGTGGTGACCTCAGCGACAGACAAGACCTCGTGCTTGGCCTCCGGGTGACAGACGTACAGGACGGAGGTGGAGCGCGGCTCGTTCTGCTTCAGCACGCACGGGGTCCCGTTGCCCATCTCCACCGAGTAGTACGGGGTCAGCTGGCCTTCGATGTTCTTAGTGGGCACCTGGAAACCAAACAAGGAGTGAGTGAGTCAGTGAGTGAGTCAGTCAGTGAGTCAGTCAGTGAGTCAGTCAGTGAGTCAGTCAGTCAGTGAGTCAGTCAGTCAGTCAGTCAGTCAGTCAGTCAGTCAGTCACTGAGTCAGTCAGTCACTGAGTCAGTCAGTCACTGAGTCAGTCAGTCAGTCAGTGAGTCAGTCACTGAGTCAGTCAGTCAGTCAGTCAGTCAGTCAGTCAGTCAGTCAGTGAGTGAGTGAGTCAGTCAGTCACTGAGTCAGTCAGTCAGTGAGTCAGTCAGTGAGTCAGTCAGTGAGTCAGTCAGTGAGTCAGTCAGTCAGTGAGTGAGTGAGTCAGTGAGTGA